TACTTTCTTGGTTTGGAACAGGGCCGAGTGCTAGTGGAGGTATGCTATGCTATGTAATTTGTGCAGGTATTTGCGACTTTGAAAGAAAAAAGAAATATTACTTAATCCAAATAATGAAAGCAGTGAGGGAGTCAGTGCAAGAAACAGGGTACAAGGAGCTGGTTCACATGCTCATCCAGTTGAAGGCTCTTGTTTTGTAGAGGAATAGTCAGCAGATGGCAGATGTGTGATATAAATGTTCCAAGAGACAGCAGTACAAATCTCTGTGTGCACTCAATATGTGCTTGATTATTTGTTTACAATCAATATTTTATTGAAATCAGATTGCAATTACAGTCAATACTGATTTGATTATATAGATCAAAACAGCAGAGGGTAATTTGCCCATCAGATATCCTCAAAATATATCAATCCATTGTATTATTCCAATACTTGGCAATAATAATGATGTTCCAAATGACCATTGACATAGCATTATTGGTTTTTAATCAAGAAAATTGGGTATACATCTGGGAAATATGAGGGTATGTTTACAAGCTTCTACAAAAGCATGCAGTAGAAAGACTAATCTCTTTCTCAGACACAGACATACAGAAAAAGAGTGGGAAGTCTATTTTCCACATATAAGTAATACTATTTTACCTGGACTATATCACTACATGCATGAGATTCCCCCAAATACTTGTTTTTCTAAGTAAAATGTTCCATTGCACAAAAATCTAGTATTCAAAGAAGAAATATTCTAGATTAGCTTTTGTTTTGAAATGATAGTCTTGAAGTTTAGTGGAGTGCTCAGTTATGTCCACACCCCAAATAAATGTTTGTAAAGAGTTGCAACTTCAGCAAGTCCATCATTAGCTTATGAACAAAAGGTATTATTTGACATTTTCTCTATACAAATGGCCTTTTCTGTATAGGTCCCATCTACATCGTAACTGAATACTGTCGCTATGGAGACCTGGTGGACTATCTACATAGGAACAAGCACACCTTCCTGCAGTGCTATAGTGAGAAGGCCAAGCAAGGAGCAGAATTGTATGGGAATGGCATGCGTGTGGACCGGCTGCAGAGGTGCCTGTCAATTTGATTACAGTATCTATATAGTCATACCTAACTTATATAACAAACTACAAAACCTACTAATACAGAAACACATGCAAAAATCCATTAAAAAAAACCAGAATAGATTTATTCTTTGAATTGTCACAGCACTTAGGATTAGGAGTTTTGTGTTCTTCCCAAACCCTGCCCCTTTTCTAGTTTTAATTTTCCTGATATCCTGAAAAAGATCTTTGGGGATGACTTCCTCTTTATAAAAAGAATACAATTAAAGTGAATTCAACTCAGATTGGACTTATTCTCCAGCACTGGAGATGGATAATCCACTAATGGGTTAACTTAATCCTCCTGCCCAATCAGATCAAGTCAGCCAAACTTGCCATGCCTGTCCTGGGTCTGTTTCTTCCCAGTTTTCGACTTGATCTGGCCCAGGGCAGACGTTGCAGTTGGCTCACAGACAGGTAGATACTTATTAGTGGATTATCCATTAACTGATTCTAATGCAAGTCCCCTGAGCAGCGTTGGGCTCAATGCTGCTCCAGAGGACAATTTATTGCAGATCCCCATTGGGATCAAATCTTCAAACGGAGGATTCCATTTTTCTCCTAATCTTCCTTCTCCCTTACCTCCTCTCTTAAAAAGGAGGAACCCTATTTCTTTCTTATCTCGGGGAAGGGGATTTCTTCCTCTCCCTCCCTCCCCCCTCCTCCATTCACCTCCTTTCTCGGCGCGGGGCTTGCGGCGGCAACTCCATGGACTATCAACAGCCGGGTCATTCCCAACAGCCTCCTAAAGTTCGGAGCTGTGACGGCAGCTCTGAAAGCCCCAATAGACGTCCGGAGGCCGCAGGGGCCTCAGAATCGTCTCGAAGCAGGACGACCCGGTTCCCGCCAACTCTCCTGGCGTCGGAGCTTGCGGCCGCAGCTCCGACGTCATTATCAAGAGCCCGGTAGATCGCGAAGGCCGCAGGGGCCTCAGATAGTTTCGTCGCGATCCGGGCGCTCCGGTGGCGAATGCAGCACTGAGGGGCAGCTGGAAGATCGGACCGGGGTGAGTTTTTGCAGGTTGAGGAACCGGGAAGGGGCGAGCAGCCGGAGGAGGTGGTCAGCGGATCGCGGTCGCCATTTTGTGACCGCGTGGCCGCAATGACAAAGGGGGAAGGAGGGGGGGAAAAGAAAAAAGTTCAAGAGGCTTCCGAGGCTCACGGCAGCCCTCAGGAGCAGCGTTCTTCTCTTCCAGCCCCATGAGATCTTATCGAGGGTGAGACAAAATAAAATAAAAATAGAATTTTAAATAAAAACTTAAAATTTAAAACTTT